CCTTGTGCTTTCATTTGATACCAGGCTTGGAGCTTTTTCTTGCTTGATCTTTTTGCTCTCGTTTTAGAACAAAACTTATGTAAACGGTGTCAACTCTGAATTTTTACAAATGTTTTGGTCAAATAGTCACAGGGTTCTAACAAGCGGAAGGATTTCAACCATGAAACAAACTCATCGTGCGAAAGGTTTCTTTCAAAAATTAGGTTGCCAGATCAGAATCCAAGAGGGCCACCTGTAAACTATCCACCCCTGAGGAAGCCATGCTTTCTAGTATTTATATTGCTAAACAGTAGTTTCCTTAAATGATTGGGGTGGATGAAGATTTATAGTGGCCAAGGCCACAATTAATTCAAATCCCTTAGCGACGGCGGACATCAGCAAATGGCTTTTTAACCCATAAAGTGTAAAGTCACATATTCAGAAGAAAGTACCTTACTTTGCACCGTACACGTCGCACCGCCGTATAAGTCGCATCAGTCCAAATATGTCTAATAAAGTGGAAAAAATATATAAATGTTGTTTTGCCATGTAGGTCGCATCTATTATGTGTCACCGCTGACAACCCGGAAACGTGGGCCAAAAATTTATTGGCTGAAAAATGGCGGCTGCAGTAGTGTGCATGGGAGGACTTTAACAAGAATTTAACAAGATTAACACTTAAAAACAGTTTGTTTGCTCAACATTATAGTAAAGGTGTGTCTCAGTTTGACTTTTCCTTAATAAATGCACTTTAATGATGAAATCAGCTGCATTTCGCCTGGGCAGCGCGGCGAAATGCAGCTGATTTGACGTTTGCGGCAGTAGTTCTGGAGCGAGACGAAGGTGGCTTGGTGTGGCAAGCCAAGTGTCTCATTAATAGCCACTTTTAACTATTAATGAGACACTTGGCTTGCCATATTACTCGAGCGCCCTCTAGCGGCTGAAAATGGTAGTGTTCAAAATTTTCCATGTCTGAATGAATGAAATCGTCAGATCTCAGCCAAAAATTGGGTTCAAAATATGGGAAAAAAAATTGAACATTAGCCGCTTTGCTGTATAAGTCACAGGCCATGCTAATGTATGCAAAAAGGTGTGACTTATAATGTACAGAGAAAAGTATGGTAGTGTTCACAACCATTTAGGTTAAATAAAATATCAAAAATAAAGATGGCCACCTGCGAACCATTCCAGCGTGGCCATGCTTTAGGTTATAAGGACTTTTTTTTCCTCAACAGAAAGAATCTTCACTCTTTTTTTAATTTAATTTTATATAAAACAAGGCACCACAGTAGAAAATCTGGATAATCCTCTTGGAGTGTGCAGCTCAGGTCAAATTGAACTTGTCAGTCCCTGAAGACTTAACGCGATTAGAGGGACAAGGTCAGGCTAAATTTGGCTGGAAAAACACTCTGAGCCTCAAACAAAGGCTTTTAGTTCATCTTAATGTAATTTGTGCAGCGTTTAATTGTGTTTGTCAAACAGAAGTTATTGACTGACATTATTAAAAACTGCAAACTTTATTCGCCCAAAATGTATTAAAAGTTAATTCCCGTAGCGCATAAAATGAATAATAATAGGAGCGGGGGGATATTTACTGCAGGACCGCTTTAGGAAGATGTCACATGAGACGTTGTGTTTGTGTGGGGACATTTCCAAGCTTTCACCAACAAGCATTCTTGTTTCTCCCTGTTTTAGGTTTATGTCTGAGCTTCTGTTAAAACTATAAGAAATTGTTGGAGGCCATTAGCGGGAGTGTGCAACACCTGCAGATGACTAAATGGATCAGGGGCCGCAGCGCTGCAGGGATCATGACCTCCACTGGGACCCCTTAAAATGTTGCAAAACAGCACATTTCATCACTAAATCAGAGGAATTTTACTACATCTGTCTCCCTTTACCCTCATCCTGTCACCATTACATTTGATCGTTGCTGAAATCACAATCAGAATCAACTTTATTGTCATTGCACAGTTAAGCGAAGTGAAAATACAATCCAGTGCAGCCATCCAACAACAATAGACGGAAATGCATGGAGGATGCAGCTTCGTGTGAAGTGCTGCCCTTATCACTTAGATAAGAAAAAGGAATAAAAACATCAGGAAAGAAGGCATAAAAGGGGGAGGGGGGAGGGGGGAGGAGTCTTCATTAACGAATAGTATTTATCATGTCTCTCCATGGCCCTGAAGCAGTCGAGCAGAGATTAAATGTGCAGCTCTCAGGTTTCACAGCAGTGTTTTTCTTCACCTCTGTGTTAATGTGTGGAAGAAGTGATGCTGTTTCTTCATGACTCGTTACTTCGCTTTGTAATCACAGCAGACGCCGTTTCTCTCCGAAGCACTCGGAATGAGCGACACCTCGTTACAGTGTCACTGCTTCCCTCTAATATACTGTGTGTGTGTGTATGTATGAGTGTTTTTTTCTTGCTTGTCTGATGCGGTGCAGCGTGACAGATCCAGGAGAGTGGAGGGAGCAATTTTATCCACCAACAAGCGCAAAGGAGGAGCCAAAGGGTGGCCAATGGTGGTCTTGGCCCTGCAGATTAATCTTTAGCTACCCCAAAGGCCACCCTAATCCATGAAAACTATACTTTAAGTAATCTTAAAATTAGAAAGCATAGTTTTCTCAATGATGGGAGTGGTCAGTTTACATATACGTATATGGTGGTGGCCATCTTAGATTTTGATATGACAATCCAATCTTGGATTGATCTTTCTTATGCTTAAGATGTAGCCACATACAGCCCAAATTCCAAATGAGTTGAAAAGGAGGTGCCGTGGATGCATTCCCATCTATCTGGAGGCAATGTTGACTGCCGAGATCTTGGAGGTAGTGGGAAACATGGCTTGCGACAGCGGAAGGACCGAGATCATCCCCGGCACCTGCAGTTAAGTCCATAGCAACGAGGGGCTCGGCAAGCTGCTGGGAGAAATGGCCATCGCTCGGGGAGGAGTTCTGCCCGGCATTTAGCCAGTCCTGCCGCCCAAGAGGACCGAGAGGTCTGCTAGGTCTGGGTGGATGGATCGGCATCTCCAACCAGTTTCTTTGGATCTGCTGTGGGACAGACTGCTACAAGCGACCCTTCCTGTCCACAGCCATCATCTATAACTGAAACCAGGATGATGAGCTACAACAACAATTAATTTCCCTTTGGGATTACCAAAGTATTTTTGAATTGAACAGAATTTTTGTATTGAAAATTTTTGAATTTAATTGAATTGAATACCAACATGGAAGTCAGTACCTCGCATATTTATTTATTAAAATGATCACACTCACAACATGCACTGACGGAACAAACGGAGGGTACTTTCAATCCCCTCGTCTCTGTCCATGACGGGAGACAACAAATCAAAAGTAAAGGAGAAAAAAATGGATAAATACGTGTCTGGGTATTTGTCTTGTACAAAGTACATCATCAGTGCAGACTCCCAAATGTTCCACTCACTGGTCATTAAAAAGTGATTTTTTTTGTGGAGACATGTCAGCCCTTTAAATTATTTCCTAAACCACTGGTCTGTAGAGATTAACCCCAACAGTCTTTACAAACAGTCTTAATTGGACCAACAGAACCGGCTTCAGAAACAGCAGCTATAAAACATCAAATACAAACGTCTATAAATTAAGGTTATAAAATCAAAAGTGGCATTTAAATCATCTAGTGACGTTACTTATTTGGTAGCCTAGAACCTTTAGGTCTTATTTGATTATTTCAATTCTTCCGTAAGTGAAACAGGGGGGGGGGGGGGGGCTGAAGCTGTAAGCTGTTTTACTACATGGGCTTTGCAACAGGTGTGGTCAGGTGCAGTGTTGTAGTCAAGACCACCTAACCCGAGACCAAGTCAAGACCAAGACCAGTCTCGCGTACTACAATCAATCAATCAATTTATTCACTCGATTCAAAAAAAATTATCATCAGTTTACAAACACATTCACTGACAACACTTATTTACACGAGTGAAGGGGGAGCAGGAAGAAGAACATCTTGTATAGACCCGCCCCCTTTCTCAATAATTACAAAAATGTCATGGCCGTATACATTAAACTACCAAAACAAGTTGCAAACAATATAACAACAACAATAACATGCATAACAACATATCACTCTTCCCATTAACAACTTAAAAGTGTATAAGAGTTGATCATTCTTTTTTTTTAAAGTGTTTTGAATTGGTTTATTGTAGAGCATTTTTTTAACTCCTCAGCCAAACTGTTCCATAGTTTTACTCCATGCACCGAAATGCACATTTGTTTTAAAGTAGTACGCACAGTTTTACTATTGAAATCATACTTCCTTCTATTATTTCTATCACATGAACTTAAGAAAAATAACTTTTATAAATTAAATTATGTACTAAATGTAGTTTAAATTAAAACGACAACACTAGTCAGCTGCTCCCGGTTCCAAATCCTGATTGAACAGGAGGCACAGAGGGCGACCTGGACCGTCCGGTCTGTAGAAGCTGTAATGCGCTACTTAAAGGCACATTTGGTCATTACTGATGATAGATTCATGTGGAGTTTCTGGGGACTGGGCTGGCTAACAGACTCATTCCCGCTCTTTAATTATTAAAGCCCAAGGGTTCTGGAACATCCACATGTTTTTGCACTCGTCATATTTTATTTGATAGTAGTCATCAGCAGGGAATAAATTATTCACCGTGTCAGGCCTCAGAGGACTTGTGAAGGGTTGGTTTGAGTAGGAAGTTGAGGATGACTTGTTAACCCTCCCTTGTCTCATTGCCTCAGATTAACTGGCTCAGACTGGCTGCATGTTCAGAACCAGACGAGCATTTATTCTGCTTCCTCTGCTCCTCTGGGAGTGATATTGCATTCTTTTTCATCAGTACAAAATCAGAACTTTTCGACATGAACGCTGCAACATCGCAGTAATCTTTGGTCTGTTTGTTTACTCGTTCGATTTTTCTGGGAAATGTTCCGTGTGCTTCAGACTCGTCAACAGTAATTTTACTTCTTGCCCTTCACACATTTGTTCTTCTTGTGTGTTTTTGTTTTTCTCCCAGATCTGCAGACTACGGCTCCACATATGAGAGAATGAATGATAAAGTTGGTTTCAAGACTGTCCTCAGTTACTTATACGTGTGTCCGACCAACAAAAGAAAGGTGAGTGTTCACCCAGAGAAGCCATGTTTCTGCCTCAGATTGGTAATTTACTAACGAAATTGTAAGATATAAATTTTCAGTCAAATATTTCTCATTGTTAGACATGTTTGTATACATTTGTTTAATTTATCCTGTGTACTGTTTTACTACAGCTGTTAAAAAAAACAAAAACATTTTAATTCCGTAAAAATGGTAAAATAGCTATTTTCTATCAAAGTTAGTTTTTTTTCCCTTTAATATCACATCAGTGGACTCTTACACTTTTTGGTTTGCAGAAAATAAACAGATTTATACTGGTTAAAATCAATGTGATTGGGTTTCATGACAGATTCAACAGAAAAGGAAATATATAATTGGTACATAAAAGTAAAGAGTGGTGGGGTGGAGTAGAGGTTAAAGTTCTCAGACAGGGCTTTACAGATGTTTAGGTCCATCCATCCACCCCCCCCCCCTTCCCCCCCACCCTCCCTCCCTCCATACAGTAGAATGTAACACAAAGTGCTTTAACACATAGAAAATAACAAAAAAAGGCAGAATAATACAGCATTTAAAAAATATGACTTCTTCTTTCAGCTTTTCTCTCTTAATGGGTCTCCACAGCGAGTCCTCCTCCTCCATCTCTGTCCTCTGTGTCCTCTGTCCTCACTCCAACTCCCTCCATGTCCTCTCTAACTGCATCCATATATCTCTTCTTGTTTCTTTCCTGGCAGCTGCATTTCTAACATCATTCTACCAATATACCCACTGTCCCTCCTCTGGACATGTCCAAACCACTGTCCCTCCTCTGGACATGTCCAAACCA